TCACAACATGGTAACCTCCAATCATGACTCCGCTGGTTGTGTCGTTCTCTCGATCTTGGTCGACCCGGCGTGATTTAATAGCAAAATTCTCCCACGACGAAAACGAATAATGTCCGCTTATCGAGGATGTGCAGGGCTACGACCTCAACAAGCGGAAAGACTAACTGTATAGGTCCAAATTTGGTAACCACGGTAACGAATAAGCAAGACAATTGACGGGGTCGACCACGACACAACGATTGAAGGTCGTCCTCATAAAGGCTGATGCCAGAAGCGGGCAACTGAGATAGGATAGTAACGGTAACTTAAGTTTAGAAGTGGACATAAAGAATATTCCTTTGGATATTCTTTATGCTGTACTTTTAGGATTTTTGGGGAATGTCCCTTATAAATAGGAAGATATAGGAAACAAAAAGGGCATCCGCCTTTTCGAACTGGAACATATGGTAAAAGTTGAAAGAAGAATATACGAAAGAGTTGTCTTATTCATTTATTCAAGCACATGTTGTCCAGCCCTTATCCATAAATCTCAAGATCCCATATACATTTTTGGATCTCTCGCTTTTCCACGCCGCCGTCATAGAAAAGGAACATCCCAATCGTATAATCAATGGGTGATAGTTCCTTTCCCATTATAATCTTTGTCATTGCTTACATTCATTATACATTTATGCTATTGTCAATCATAACAAAATAAGTCCACTATTTAATGCTCCTGAACTCTACTCGTTATACCGAAGTTTTATTTTATTTTATCTAGAATTTATTAAGTTCAACTAAGATTCACCTTAACTCATCATTAATTTGTTTAGCATTTATTTTCTCAAACATTACCCATAATATTTAATTTTTTTAGATATCAACAAAGAATTAACTTTTTATTTTTCAAAGTTAGCCTTGGAGTAAAGAGTCACTGTTATATTTCAAATGAACAAATTAAAGAGATAGTAAAGGTTAATATAGTCAAAAATTTTAAATGTAGATTTCGTAACATGTGTGAAACAATCAAAAATTTAATTAAAGTGGGCCATATAAAGTACTTAACATTTTTTTTTTGTGAAGAAATTTTGTTTATTAATCTCCACGAACAGGTACAGTATTCTCAGTTGCTTACAATCTGCCTCTCCTAATTGCTACCTTCTGAACTTCTATTCTATTATTCATATATAACTTTACATCTATTTCAAGTTTCTATAACATGTACACTATGAACTCTATAATTCAAGCTAAGTGTGTTGCTTAGCCACTCCCTTTCTTTGTTGCCCTGCTTCATGTTGATGAATATGCTTCTCCGCATTTTGCACTCTTATTTTATCTGTTCAATCACCACTTCAGGTCGTGGTTATTTAGATTCCCAGTACGCCGGATTCCTTGCTTTCCAAATACGATAGACATTGCTGCCATGTTGCAATGACAAAAGCCCTGCAGCTTCTACCCTTAGTGTGCCTCGCTAATCTCCTCCATCTCCCATTTATGTCCATCTGCTGCACTGCACTTCTTGTCCAGTTGAGTATATCTTGTAGGCACCTCTGCGAGAATACACCTTCAAAGTACAAATGTTCTATGGTCTCTATGTTAGTACCACACATCACTCACTTATCATCTTGACTTATTCCCAATCTGTATAGCCGATCTTTTGTGAGTGGTCTTTTATGTAACAACAACAAGCAGATGAAGCTATGTTTTGTCATATTTCCTCTGCTCCATACTCATCTCCACCGAGGCCAATCCTCCAGCTATCCCATTCTCCATTTGTAGCCATCATTCACTATGTATTTGCCTTGTGTTTTTAGCCAGTTATTTAACACAAATCCAGTTGCAAATGTATCTCTTATAGTCCAGATATTTTTCCAGTACCAGTAGCAATCCAATGGGGGATATATTGCCACCAACCAGTACCCTTTAAGTAGATATTATTGATCCATTTGACCCACAAATTATCAGCTTTTTGAGCAATGTTCCAAACGTAGTTTGCCATTGCAGCTTCATTCCATCTCTGGCACTCTGTGATTCCCAGTCCTCCTTCTCTCTTTGACCTGCATACCAGGTCCCAGGCCACGAGAAGGGTTCTATTTGTTACTATTTTACCATCCCATAGGAAATTCCTACATATTGCAGAGATTTCTTTGAGCACTGACTTTGGTAAAATAAAAATGGAAGCCCAGTAGCTATGTATATGTAGTAGAACTGAATTAATGAGCATCACTCTCCCAGCATAGGAGAGATGTCTTGTACCCCCAGCTCCTTCCTCGTGATGTTAGTCTCTCACTCAGAATTTCACGATTCATTTTTGATAGTTTTCAAGCAGATATTGGTACTCCAAGATATCTAAAAAGCAAGGTGCCTTTTGCATATACAGGCAGCTCTAGTAAGTCTACCTCATATTGGGGTTGCATGCTCATACTGAAGATATTTGATTTTGCTGCATTTGTGCATAATCCAGAAGCATTGGAGAATGTCTTTAATCCTCTCATCATAAGGAGGGCAGACTGGAAGTCCACTCTGCTAAATAACAAAATAAAACATCATCCACAAAACATAGGTGATTCAGCCTAAGACTTCTACATTTTGCATGAAACCCAAACTTCTGATGTTTTGCCACCTGGTTCATTATTCTTGTAAAGTATTTCATGCATATAACAAATATAAGAGGAGAGATAGGGTCCCCTTGTCTCAGCCCTCTTCTACCTATTATATTTCCATACAGCCCCCCATTTATTGCAATACAGTACTTAGTAGTTGTGATACAAGTCATAGTCCATCGGATGAAATGGTGTGGGAAATCTAGTACGTGGAACATCTCTTCCACAAACTTCCATTCAATAGTGTCATATGATTTTTTCAAGTCGACCTTTATCAGGCAGTTGATGGTAGTGTGTTTTATGTTATATAGTCTAACCAAGTCCCAGAAAAGCACATTCTGGGCAATAGACCTTCCTGCTGCAAATGCACTCTGATTAACAGAAATGATCTCTGGCAGTACCTTCTTTAATCTATTGGATAGCATCTTTGAAATTATCTTGTATATTGTGTTGCAACATGTTATAGGTCTATAGTCACCCACAGTTTCAGCGTGATCCTTCTTAGGCACTAGAGTGAGTACAGTTTCATTCCATACCTTCAAAAATTTTCCAGTTCTGAAGAATTCCATCACCCCAGCTAAAAGGTCATCCTTAATGATATCCCAACAGTCTTTAAAGAATTGACTGCTATAGCCATCTGGACCTAGGGCTTTCTCACCTTCTATCTCCCATAGAGCTGTTTTTATCTCTTGTTCAGTGAACTCTTCTATAAGCATCTTCCTATGTTCCCCTGATACCACTGGGCCTTCCTTCATAGTAGAGCTGCAAACTCTGGTTCTGTTAGTGCTTAAGGATCGCAATAATGATGTGTAGAATTCTACAAAGCTTTGTGCTATCCCTAGTAAGTCAGTAATGATATCTCTATTGTTGCTCCTGATTGTGAATATCTTGTTGGTATTTCTTCTTGCTTTAAGAATACTATGAAAGAACTTTGTGTTCAAGTCTCCATAGTTTAGCCATTGGATCTTACTCTTCTATCTGAAGTATTGGTCTCTGGCTAGCTTCCATTTCTGATACTTTTCTATTAATCTCCTTTCATACTCTATTAGTTGTAGATTCTTAGAGTCCTTATGAAATTTACTTTGACATTCATCTAGCTCCTTCTTGATATTTTCTGTGTTGATTACCACATCACTGAAGTTTGCTTTGTTTATTTCCCTAAGGGTGGATTTGAGCTTGTTCAACTGTCCTACCAAACCAAACATTTTTGAGCTAGTTATACCTCTTTCCCAGCTAAGTTTAACTGCCTGCTAAAAGTTTGGCGCTTGACTCCACATTTTGAAGTATTTAAATCTACATTGGTTTGGTTGCTGCCCATTTTCCCAGTTTATTGCTACTGGACAATGATCCATTAACCCTTCATTTTCAAAGTTTGCTTCAGAACGTGGTAGGGTGGTAATCCAGCCACTATTGACTAGGACTCTATCAATTTTGCTGTAAACCTTGCTGTTATCCCCGTGCTTGTTATTCCATGTGTAGAATGCCCCTGGTGATCTCAGATTGTTTAAAGAACAAAGTTGAACACAGTGCTTGAACTCTCTTATTTTCGACCGAGAAACAGGACTACAATTCTCTCATCCCTGTTGAGGACACAGTTGAAATCTCCCAATACTGCTCATGCCCCTTGTATTGTACCATGCATCCCTATAAGTTGTTGCCATAATTCTCTTATTAAAACCAGATCATTGAACCCATACACCAGTGTCACCTGAAATATCAACTTAGTCCCTCCATGTATCACCTAACAATGAATCATTTGTGAGGCCATTACTTATATAATAACTTCAAATATTAGTGGTTTCCAGAGTAACCAAATCCTACCACCAAGGTGATGGTTAAGATTTGTGGTGAAAGACCATCCATTACATAGGTTAAAGGCTACTACCTAAGCTTTGTGCCTTTTAACCTTTGTTTCCAGGAGTCCAAATAGACAAACTTTACAGTTGTGCATAAACAAATTCATTTCTTTATATTTTGCCTGTCTATTCAGACCCCTGGTGTTCCAAAATCCATTTTTATCTAGCATGGGGGGGGGGGGGGGGGGGTTTCTCTACCCCTACTCGTACCTAGACCCATCATTGTGCTATTAACTGTACTACTAGTTGAAGCCATAGCCTGCTTTACCCTTGGTGCTAAGCCTGTGTTGGTGGCATTTTCAACTTGCTTCATTTTCTCTCCTATTCCCCCTTCTCCGGGTTTCCCTTCTTTGTTGTTTATCATTGATGCACTGTTTGCTTCTCCTAGAGATGCAAAAGGATTGCTTGTAGTAACAAAAACCTCTTTGTATTGCAGCTGTTGTCTAGGTCTTCTAGGGCTATGTTGTAGTTCCTTCACTTTGCCTCCATCTGTCTTTTCTCAATTGTTGCCTTGCCTTTCTAAATGTTATTCACATGTGCTGCTTGAGTACCTTCTGGCTGCTTATTCAGCTTTTTGCTGTTTGCATTGCTGCTTCTTATGCCCAAAGATCTTACAATATTCATAAATTATAGGTTTCCATTCATACTCCACACTCTGTTTGATTACCTGACCTGTTTCACTTTCAATTATGATTATGTCTGGGTATGTTTGGTTCGGTTGGACCTCAACCACTACACTAACATACATCAACCTCTCTTTCATAGTTATTGTTGCATCAGCTTTCACTGGTTTCCCAACAAATTCTGCTATTTTTGTTAATGCTACTTGCCCCCAATACTTCAGATCCAGTCCTATCAACTTAATCCAGATAGGTACCTTTTCAACTGTGATCTTGTTCATCTCCACATCTGGTCTCCATGGCTTTACAATCACAGGTTTTCTGTCAGAAGTCTGGATCCCATCTTCAACTACTTTAGTACGACTCTCCACGCTATGGAATCTAACAAGGAAAACCCCTTTGCTAGTTTGTGCAAAAATGTCTATCCCCAGAGCTCCCCATATACGCTTAAAGTACCCTTCTATGACTGTTAGGGGGGGATTCGATCCCAATACATAGCAGACTACAGTTGATTGCCAGTATTCTACCTCCTCCTTAATATCATCCATGGTGATTTTTATATTCGTAGCCGATTTTTCTGCTGCTACTAAGTCAAAACCCTCCCTTAATTGTGATTTTTCAACTATATTACTCCATGATTTAGGGCTAGGGTCAGTTTTTGGATTATACCTTTCTCAGTTGCAGATTTCTCCTCTGCATCGACCAGATCTGCCCAAGATGCCCTGCTTATGCATTGTTCTCCAATATTTGCATTTGGTGTAGCAGTAGCTCAATTGGTGTACCATTTGCCCTGCTAGGTGCCATTGGAGTCACCAACATATGCGATGTCTGCTTCAACTCCAGTGGAACTACTCCCTGAATTACATTCACACTCTTCGTTTTCTTAGCATCCTCTGATTGGGGAATCCCCCTTCTTCCCATGTTTATGACCGCTAGGTTACTCTTTGTTCCTTGTCCTCTTCCTCCGGTCTTCGATTTCCTTGCCATCCAGCCTTAGCTGAGAGGAACTCTCATTCTAGAGAGAGAAGCTTAGTTTATCTACTCTATTTTTCAAGTTTCATATAGTACTTAGCACTTTATTCATGCCCGTATCTCATTTCTTTGTAGTAGTTAATATTTCCATATTTTCAACTTAACTTCTTAATAATCTTTTTATCTTTGGTATGAGGAAAACTATTTGTCAAGAAAATATTTTTCATGACAAAGTCATTAGTTGGTGTGTAATTACCAGGAAAGATTTAAGATCAAGGAGGTTTAAAGTTCATTCAAAAGGTGATAACGGTAATGTTTCACCAAATTCTAAAGGTTAATGGAGTTAATGACGGGTTTGTTATGGAAACTTCATAGTAATTTTTTGTTCTGAAGCATGGTAATTCTAGACCTTCCCATGCTCGACTAGGATTGAGCAGTGGGATCACAATAGATGGATTTGCAGTCATCTTTGAAGATCAAAATGGGTCGATTTGAGCAAAAAGTAGGGTTTATTAATTGGATTTTGCTGATGTAATGGAGTTACTCGGAAACTAGTGCGATTTATAGCCTGTTTGGCCAAGCTTTTTTTTGGCCAAAAATACTTTTTTTTTTGCCAAAAGCACTTTTGGCCAAAAATTGAGGTGTTTGGCCAAGCTTTTGGAAGGAGAAAAAGTGTTTTTGAGGAGAAGCAGAAGCAGTTTTGGAGAAGCAGAAAAAAGTAGCTTCTCTCCAAAAGCACTTTTTTGAGAAGCACTTTTGAGAAAAATACACTTAGAAGCAGTTTTTTAAAGCTTGGCCAAACACTAATTGCTGCTCAGAAGTGCTTTTCAAACTAATTAGCCAAACACAAACTGCTTCTCACCAAAAGTACTTTTAAGAAAAGCACTTTTGAAAAAAAACACTTCTCAAATAAGCTGATTTTTGCAGCTTGGCCAAACGGGCTATTAGGCAAGTAAAATCTAGTAATATTTGATTGGATTTTTGTGGATTTGGTTGCTTTTGCAGCGTTAGTGGTGGACAGAGAGGTGGTGTTCTCCACGTTCTTTCTTGGGATTTTTTTTTCTTTCTATTTTTATGTTGTTTAAATTATTTCATTAAATATTTATTATTTCTTAGCTTCGAGTATATTCTATTTATACATTTCTTTTAATTGAAGGTTAAATATATTTAGTTGAATAACACAAGAATCAAAACTAAAATAAAGTACTCCTTTCCATATTAATTTATGTGATGCAGTTTGACTAGCAATAAAGATAAACTTTTGAAACTTGCGAATTAAAATAATCTATAATATTTGTTTGACTATAAATCATCTCATCAAAGATAAAATAAAAGGTTTAAAAATTAAATTATTTCTAAATACAGAAATATATCTTTTAAAGTTTCTCTAAGAAAAAATGAAGTCGACAACAAGTCGTATAAAATTTGTTTTGGCATTTCCATCTTTGATCAGAAATACGTACAAAGTCATTAATGAACGCCTAATTAGTACTCTACTACAATTCCATTACTAATGTTACATCCGTGTTGGTTCTAAGAATTCGAACCAAAACTATTAAAAAAATGCAAAAATATTTATACTATTGATAACCGTTGAATATTGCTAGAGCAGCGCAATGTATCATCACCATCCCCAGGTAAAAATGAACTGGAATTAAATGCAGTGAAAATCATTAAAACAAGTGATACAATTACTGATAGTCCAGAAAGAAACAGCATTAAAATGTGGGACGCAGTGTTCTTCATTTCTTGAGCATACTTAGTTGATGCCATGGCCATCACTGTTAAAGGGAAAGAATATGCCCACCATGATACATTGAATTTCCTCATTGATCTCTTAAATAAGGCTGGTCTTGAAACCTGTTTTTTCAACAAATAATTAGTAAACAGTTTTAGTCATATTCATACATTTTCAAATAGAATATATATTTCTAGATAAGACAACTATATCTTAGTGTTGCCTTAGGTTGACAAAAGAACACAATGTATATTTAAGCTGACGCTACGGGCATGACTTGAATGGTTGGTAGTCAACAACATCATTTCGTACTACGAAATCTTAAAATTGCAAAAGCCAACTCGAATACTTCTACGTCAATTTAATTAGATTTTAGCCGCGGTCACCTTCACTCTCTTTTTCTTTATGTTCACTTTTCTTCTTTCAAAAGAACAAAAACCAAAGAAATAGATATGTAGAAGGAAGAAACAAATTCTTGGTACATTTTTTCCTTCTAGTTTATTCCAGAAAAGATATTACTCCCTCCGTTTCATATTAAATGAGGTACTTTCCTTTTTAGTCTGTTCCAAAATAAATGACACATTTCTAAATTTGAAAATAATTCAACTTTAAACTCCTCATTTTACCCATTTTACCCTTAATGAGAAGCTTTTATAACCACACAAAAGTCATGGTCCCACAAAGCTTTACCCCTTAAGCTTTTAAGACCACAAATTTCAAAAATCTTTCTTTTTTTTCCTTAAACTCCTTGCCGAGTCAAACTACCTCATTTAATTTGAAACGGAGGGAGTATTACCTTTTTATGATTGGAAAATTCATTTTAACTTTAAAGTTCTTATTTTACCCTGAATGATTACTACGTATATCTTTTGACATGTATCATAAGTCTTCCCGTTATTTCTTAATTAAACTGCATGCCCAGTTTGATACTGTTATATTAAAATCTAACAAATGGAATATCATGTTTAATTTAAAATGCTCACCAGGGAAAAGAAGAGGAAGAGGGAAAGGAAGAAGAGCATCTTGGATGAAGAATCAAACTTTCCATAAATAGAGTCCCAAGCCAAGCTAGCCATGCTTGGAGTTGCTAAAAACAAGAAGAAAACTGGCCTTAGCATTGCTGGAAGAGAGCTACTTCCTGGTAACCTTTGATAAAGTGTAACAAATAGCACTAAATAATGTGACATTCCAATTGCAAACAAGAATAATGCACACTCATTCCATCCCATTTCAGCAGCAGCCCTTGCTCCTACTAAATTCCCAATAACTGATAATTGGCTAGTTGGATTCGCTACTCCTGATAGAAAGCGCTTCCCTTTAGTAATCCATTGACCATATATCTTGATATCAAGTGCAACTATAGGTACAACAAAGATCCACCAAAGTACAAGAAAATAAATCTCTTTGGGCTTGAAAAATGGAGTGGCTTGAAGCAAAACAAGACAAGAAATCCAAGGAGCGAAAAGGTAGTTCACTCCAACATGATGCAAAAACTCACTTTTAACCATGTCAAAGTGAAAGAGAAGACGAAGTAGGTATAGAAAAGAAAGTGATATTAATGAGAATAAGGCTAAAGACCATAGAAGAATAAAAGCTGTGGAAGGAAGCATACGAAAAATACTTCTAAACTTATGAATATCATCCGATGGCTCACTTAAGGTTTTCCATAATAATGCTTGGCTGCATAAAGAAAGACTTATTCTAAAATAACCAGCATGAAATCTACTTAATATTGATAAAAATTGGTTCTTATAATGTGTTACAAAAATGCTACTACTACAATTTTTCTGTGTTGGGCACAGAGTACTAGCATCTCTTGCTTGGGCCTCTTTGCTATGCATTTCCATGGCAAAAATTGATGACTAATATTATATCGATGGTTCTATCGGTGAAATGAGGTATAAATAGGAAAATTTTGGTAGATGAGAATTTGAAAGAAGAACGTACGTACTTTCTTTGAAGCAACATAGGTAGGAGAAAAGTCGGCTGACTTAGGCTAACCATTGTGGACTACTTGACGTGGATTGTGGGTGGTTCCTGAGTTGTTCTCGAGCTCTTTACAGCTATAGTTTGTGTGTATGGGGACCACATTTTTTCTGGCTAAAATCTCTTACTCGTATAGTAGGTATCGCTGTAAAACACAAGTGTATTCACGATTTGAAGAGTCAATTACTCAAATAGTCACTCAACTATCTCAAATTATCTCCTAAAGTTATTTTTCTTTCATTTGTAACAACAAAGTTTCTGAACTATGTCTAGTGCACTCAGAAGGTCACTCAACTAGATTTTCCAAATTTTGAATTGCCAAATACCTATTTTACCCTCTAAATTTTAAACATTTATCTTCTTTTATTTGTTTCAAACTTTTTAATATTATGATTTTTCCCTTTTTAATTTATATTATGGACTTACTTATAAAATAAATAAATATTATTTATAAATTAAAAAAATAAAAAGTATCTAAGCATCTATAATGCCGGAATAACAAAATAATAGCATAGTAAACAAATTAATTAGAATAATTTGTTCGTAATAATACTTTTAGTATTAACAAAAAAAATTTGTTTACACAGTTCAGAATTAAAGAAAATAATTTTGTAAAATATATATTCCATGCATGTAATATAAAAATAATTAGTTAAATAAAGGTATTTTTATAATATACATTATATATTCTTGAAAATTATGCTCAATTATATTATATATATTCCATGCACGACTTAGCATAACATATTTTACCCTATACAGATAGCCCCCTGCTTTCCGGTGACATAACTTTGTGTCGTCGGAAAGTTGGTAGAAACATAATAATATAGTGAAGCATAATTTTCAAGAATA